AGCAGCTGCGAAGCTCGGCGGCCTGGCCGGCGCTGGGCTCTCCATGCACGATGGGTCCCACCGTGTGGATGACGTCTGTGGGAGCCACGGGGTCAGAGTGCCGCCTGAGCGAGAAGGACCTACCCTTGCGTGCGCGCGAGTGTCCTGAAGCCTAAACCCACACGTGTACGCGGCCGCAGCTCCTCTGGAGCCCCAGCCCTTCCGGGGAGGTGCCGAAGGGTGCGAGGCCCTGGCACCTGAAGTTAACAGGCGCACCTGCGACTGTGCGGCTGCGCCCCACAACCCCACCCCGCGTTACCCCCGCGGCCCTGTACGCGTGAGCCCTGGAGTTGGACTCACACTTGGCCGGCAGGCGGTAGCCGCCCGTGATCTTGGCCTGGCCGGTCTCGCAGCTCTGCAGGGTCCGGCACTCGTCTGTGAGCAGAGGCCCGGCGGCCCGGTGAATGCAGCCGTCCACTGCGGGGGAGGGGAGTGAGCCGGGGCTACCGAGTCCCAGACCTCACTTCACCCGGAAAGGTAAAGCCGAGGCCCCGGGGCTGAGGACTCCTGATCCCAAGAAGCCCCTCCCTGAGCTGCACTCAGGCTCCAGGGACACTGCCCTTCCCCATCACCCTCTCCAGGAGTTGGTTTCACACCTGTGGAAACCGAGGCACTGGGGGGCTGTAGCCCCCACTGGTTCGGGCAGCGTGGGGCGGCCGGCAGGGGGCGCGCCCAGCACACTCTGCTCCCTCTAGGAGAGGAAAGATGTGAAGCTGCCCTTCCGGCTGGGCTGCGTAGAGGACAGACCTACTCCCAGGCGTGGCGCGGACTCATCCTCCCAGAAAACTCCCCAAGCAGCCGAATACAGTACCTTTTCCAGATGAAGAAACAGGCCACCTTGTTACAAGGGGCGGACCCAATAAGGGTCTGGATTCTGGGTCCTCTATCCACTTCCCTAAGGCCTAAGGCACCGCGCCAGGGGGTGGAGGAGCCTCCCCAGGGGCCTGCAGCCGCCAACCCCAAAGCACAGCTCCTTAACGGGCCTCCTCGTTAGGGCATCCGGCTTAATTGCCGTCAGGCTCAGGCTTGTATACCTGAGCGAGGCTCTAGGGCTCCAGAGCGACCCTGGGGACCCACGCCCAGATAAACAACCCCTGGGCAGATGGCTCGGAGGTCACCTGGCCCAGATAGTCCCTTCACAGCTGCAAGACTGTGTTCTTTCCTCTGGCTGTGTGCCCACTGTCTCATCTGTAAAAGGATGACCCTTTAGGTGAAGAGCAGAGGTGACCCCTCTCTGACAGCTCTGATGGCACCCAGGCCTGTGCCAGGGGCTCCCTGCTTCAGCTACCTGGTGCTGGGGTGCTGGCTTCAGGAAAGGCCATTGCTTCCCCATTGGACAAATGCATACACCTAGACTAGGGCGTATCCCCTGTGCCAGCTCCCTCCAGCCCTCCGCACAGGCCCAGGGACACCACTGGCCCAGCCCCTCCCTCTCTGGCTGCTTGCTCGAGGCCCTGTGGGGCCCAATTAACCGCATTTTCACCTTCACTCTGAGTGGGCACCAGGTGACTTCCTGCTGTGCCCGGTGTGGGGGTAAGGGCAGGGGGCCTCCGAGAGTGACTCAGGACCATGCTCCTAGCCCCCCTTGGCCTCTTGCACCCTTCCGGAATAAAAGCAGCTGCAGCCCATAGGAGGACGTGGTGAGGGTGAGACCCAGGCAGGGCTGGGTGCCCAGGAGGGAGGTCTGTTCTTGGCAGGGTGCTACCTGGGACCCAGCTCTGACAGCCACCGCTGTGTGACTCAGCCTCTCTGGGCCCTACACGTTGCCCACCTCTTGGGGTTGGAAGCATTTATTTTGGTGGTACTGGGGATGGAACCCAGGGCCTCGTACAGGCTAGGCAGGTGCTCTACCACTGAGCTATACCCGGAGTCCCAAATGAGTTCATCCTTGTAACATGCTTAAATTGGTGCTTTACTGGAGTGGAGGTGAAGCAAGTTGTCTCTTATGGTGAGAACGTGGCTGCGGCGTGTGGGTGTGCTGTGTGGGAGAGTCATGGGTGGTGTGCATACATCCGTGGTCTCTGGGCACCCGGCTGCCTGCTGGCTCCCAGTGCCAAGCGCCCTGCAGGCGACCTTGGCCGGCTATGGAGGCCCTGCGGAAGTGGGGCTGGCTGACATCTGTGCTTCAGGGACTTAATGCTTCCTGCAGCAGTGGACAGGCCTGCAGCCAGGCCTTTGGGACTGACCTGGGGGCACGAGGGAGACGGAGGGGACTGGAAATGCTCTGAGCAGAGGCCTTGGGATGGATGCCCCAGCCATCTCCGAGACAGTGCTAGGGTCAAGCAAGTGCTCTATGGCGCCCCCAGGGGTTCTCCCCATGAAAGACAAGTTGACCTGGCATCCAGGCCCCAGCAGGCTGCAGCCTCCTGTCTACCTGTCCCTCCCCTGTCCTCACAGCCTTCTGCTCCCTCCTCCTTAATGCAAAGGGGGTCCAACCCAGCTGTCCCTGGCCACAGCCCCAAAGGGCCACTGCCCCACACCCTGCCTGCCACTCCCCCCCCCCCCCCCCCCCC